CCTTTGCGTGCTGCCCGTGCAACGGTGAATGAGTCCAAGGGACCGGACCCTTCTCCCACGTTTAACTTTTGACGAGTGTGGCGATACCGATGCGACTGGCGAGGGAGCAGACCAATTGGCATCGCCATGGGCATAGAGAGCACCACAAGTGTAGTATCGTCGAGCCTTCCACGGTGCACATAACACCAAATGGTGAACGAAGAGACTGGGTACGCAACACACAGTTCCTTTGGCACGCCTTTGTTTCTTCCTACTGTTCGTGTGGTCCTCCCCTCTTTACACTGCTCTGTGTTCAAAAAAAGGGGAGGGAGCTTTTCTTCTTAGAGAAAAGAGAAAAAAAAAATACAAGTCACAAATAACCAAAGACTTGAATTCCACCACATCCGTTTGAGCAAAACCGTCAACTGCACTGTAACACAAAGAGATTGTCCCAAAAAGGAGGGAAATCTTAATCTGTAACGAGGTGGCACGCGGGGGAGACACAAGGGGCGGCCTTGCCGAGTTGGCTAAGGGGAAGCCATCCCTCTTTTATCCAAGGGGAAACCATCCCGCTTCATCCAAGGAGAGCACCTTCCCCCAAAACATATGCATCATCACCACGACCTACTCCGGTGACTCACCTTTTCCGATATGTATACACACCCCTTGTGAGGAGGATCCCGATGGAAGAGAAGCCCGATCAGGTGTTAAGAACCCCCCCTGTGGAGGGTCTCCCTGCAGGGGAAGGAGTGCAGCAAGATGCCGCTGAGGAAGATGCCGCTGAGGAAGATGCTGCTGAGCAAGAGGCAGATAAGCAAGCGGACGAGGGAGGTGGAGTCCCCCCAGGAAGTAACCGACCCCACGTAACCGCTAAAAAAGAGAGCGTAGAAGAGGCCTTCAAAATTGTACAAGAGCAAATAGATAAAGATATGGCCCTCGCTGATGATGCGTCGAGGGCCATTATGATGTTAAGCGGGGCGCATCACTTAGATCAGTGCAAGGAGTCAGTGCAGGGAGTCGAGGCGGGGGGAAAGACCCCCTCTGCTGGGAAGAATGACATGAGAGATGGGGGCAATGAGAATTGTACCGCAAGCAGCGCAGATGCACAGGGTAGTGGCGAGAACACCAAGAAGGCTATGGGTGATAAGGCTGAAGTAACACATGATGGTGAAGCCAACAACACGGGGAAGGATCCCCTGCACAGGGAATCCATGATGAACCGTGATGACTGTGAAGATGACGATAGCAACTCCGATGTGGACACGTGGTCAAACGTGAGCTACCTGTCGGTGGATGAGGCCAGCCCGTACAACGAGGCGGCCGAGGTGTACACAGCTTCGCCGAAGCAGGAGCAGACAAAGTGCACGAGGGAGGAGATGAGGCGGAAGATGCTGAAGAGCGACGAGGAGGCGGAGCGCCAGGCACAGGAGGCGCGGCAGCGGCGGGAGCCATCTCCAGGGGAGCAGCACACAGGGGAGCAGCAAACGGGGCAGCAGCATACAGTGGAGCAGCCAACAGGGCAGCCTCCTCCGGTGATGGCCTCTCCCCCCCTAACCGCGCTTACTGAGGCAACCCAGGCCGACCTGTCAAAGCAGCTGTCCCTGAACGCAATCGACAAGTCGTTCATACAAATCCCGTTGAAATGTATTCTGAACTCTTTCCGAAATATTCAGAAGGAGCTAGAGAAAAATTTCACCATCATCACGCTGTTCATAGAGAAGAAGCTACTGAACTTAACGGACGAGATTTACCTGAACAAGCTGAATACGATTATCGAAAAATTGCAATCATTACGGAGCAAAGTCATCGAATCAAAGATGCTTCTAGACAAATATGTGAACCGTTTGGCTAGCCGACTCAAGTACATTTATTTTGAGGGAGATATCCAGCTGGAAAATTTAAAGCATGACTTTCGCTTCGAAATGTATGAAAATAGAATTAATTGGCTAGTCGACGGGTTCTTATCTAGATACGGGTTCTTTGACACCGTAGAAGTATTTTCAAAAAGGTACAAATTGGGGAACTACTCAGATGCACATGTCTACAAGGAATATCTAGACATCATAACGGAGCTAAAGAATTACAACATCAAACCGGCACTAGAGTGGTGTCAAAAATACAAGTCTCAATTAAAAAAAATCGATTCAAATGTAGAAGCAGAGCTGCATCTACAATGTGTCATTAGTGTAATTTCGGAGAACAAATTTTTTGAGGCCATTGAGTATATAAAAAAAACCGTCTCCAAACCAGATGAGCAGATCTCTGCAGATGTCAAGTTCCTCGTGACGTACATTGGGCTGTATGGATCGAACGAGAAGAGACACACCACTGATATGTTAAATCGATTCAATCGGAGGAGATGGAGTAAAGTCATAAAATCTTTCCAGGAGGTTTACTCAGAAATAACGGGCGTGCTGAACAAGCCTCTGCTGGAGCTGCTACTCAAGGCTGGCATTTCAGTGGTGAAAACGGAGCAGTGTGGAAAGCAGAAGTGCACAAAATGCCCAACGTGCATGGACGAGCTTAGACAGACCATCAACGACGTCCCACACATACAGAAGACCAAGAGCTTTCTCGTTTGTCCCTACACCAGTGAAGTCATGGACGAGAAGAACCCCCCCTTCACCACCCCCGCGGGCCGCGTCTTCTCGGAAAAGGCTATTTCCCTGTTCGTTAAGTCGGAAGAAGTGTTCGAGTGCCCCATCACAGGGGAGAAGTATCGCATGCAGGACCTGTCGCGGCTGTTCATTTGAGAGGGGAGCGACGGTGGCAGCGCGGTGATGAGATCGCGGTGATGATAGCGCAGTGAGGGGATCGCGGTGAGGACGACGCCGTGACGACCGCCCAAGTGTTGTTTCCTCACCACTTGGGTTAGAGAGTTTACTTTCACACGTGCAGCAGTGCACACCACGCATGGTTAACGCTCCCCAGTTGTGCATGCCATGTGTGCATACCACTTCTACATCGAACTACGTTTGTGCGCCCATCCAATGCGGGAAGTGGAACCCCCCGTTAACATATAAAAAAGTAATCGTCACAGGTGAGGAAGGGGGTGGCGTCTCGCCAGACGTGCTGCTCCGCTAGAAGACCTTCCATACTAGACGTGCTGCCCCTCTGCTCCACTATATCACCTTCGTTATGATACCCGAGGCGACGGTCCTGCCGCCCTCGCGCAGGGAAAAGCGCAGCCCGCTGGCCAGAGCGAGTGGATACATGAGCTCAATGGTGCACTTGATGTTGTCCCCCGGATTGGCGACCTGTGTGTCTTCATTGAGAATCACCGCACAGTTTACATCGGCTGTCCGTATGTAGGCCTGGGGTCTGTAGTAAGACGAAAATGGATTCTTCCTACCCCCCTCCTCATTCTTCAAAACGTACACATCACTTTCGAACTTTTTGTATGTCTTCAGGTTTGGCACTTTGGTGACTACCATCCCTCTGGATATGTCATTTTTTTTCACATTTTTCAACATGACTCCGATTTGATCCCCCGCTTGAGCTGCATCTAGCGTTTTCCTAAACATCTCAATACCTGTGACAACCGTTTTAATTGGCTTCTCCTTGATGCCCATGATTTCCACAGGATCATTGAGCTTTAATGTTCCTTGCTCTACTCTCCCTGTGGCGACTGTCCCTTTTCCTGATATCTGCAAAACATCATCAATGCTCATGAGAAATGGTAGATCCATTTTTCTTTTGGGCTCATCGATGTAGTTGTCACAGGCGTCTAGTAGCTTCAAGATGGAAGGCACTCCGTATTCCGACTGATCCTCATTTAATGCTTTCAGAGCGGACCCTTTGATGATGGGGATATTATCCCCATCGTACTTATGGAAGGACAGCAATTCCCTGATTTCTAATTCAACCAAATCGACCAGCTCCTTGTCCTCACACATGTCTATCTTATTCATATAGACAATCATTTTTTCAATTCCTATCTGTCTCGATAAAAGCACGTGCTCCTTCGTCTGTGGCATCAATCCATCATAAGCAGACACGACTAGGATGGACCCATCCATCTGGGACGTCCCTGTTATCATATTCTTCACATAATCTAAATGCCCTGGACAATCAATATGACTGTAGTGTCTTTTCTCCGTCTCGTATTCTACATGAGTTGCATTGATGGTGATTCCTCTCTTTTGCTCCTCCGGCGTTTTATCAATCTCTTCATACGATTTGAATGTCCCTCTGTTTTGATTTGCGCATACTTTCGTTATCGCTGCTGTTAGGGTCGTCTTTCCGTGGTCGACATGTCCGATGGTCCCTATATTCATATGGGGCTTCTTCCTTTCGAATACTCCAATGGCGAAGTGTCTGCTGGTTAGGAAAAACGGCTGTCTTCTCCTCTCCGGGCTGCCAACGTTCCAGCGAATAGTTCTATCGTGATGGGTAGTTGTTCCACCGCCATAGATACTTCTTCCACTGCCATGGCTACTCCTTCCCAACGCGTCGACCACCCGACTTGCCGAACGTACCAACGACGGGGCACCACCCCCGGGAACCACCACCAGCAGGTTCCGTCTGCCGCTTATCATCTCGATGGGGGAAAGACGAGGAGACCAATTCGGTCATCCAAGAAGTTCACCAAACTGCGTAACTTATATACGTATGTGGGGTATCTTACATGAGCAACTTTTCTTACCGTGGAGCGGACTACGCAGAGATGGAAAAAAAGCGGGGGGGTAGCCTCTATGACGATGATATGCCTCTCCCCGGACAGTGCATCGCTAATTTACCCTGCAGCGCTCCCTTTCCAGTTACTCCTATGAGAGTGAGCGCGGCCCGCCAAACGTTGTTGTGTTGGTTCCGGTCAAGGTGGTCAGTCCGGTCAACCTAGCCAATCCGGTCGATGCGGTCACTTCCCCCCCGCGGTGTACAAAAACGTGTCGTCGTCCCTCCGCTCACGAGGCGCCTTTTCCGCGGGTGCTTCTCTGGATGACAACTTTTTTTCCCACACCTCTACAGTTCAGTTGACTCTATTTCGTGTAGCGCATGGCTCCTATCGCTGTTATCACCCTTGTTGACTCATTTTTTTTTTCTCTCTCTCTCTTACATAAGTGTTGGACGACTACTCTTCATACGAAGCGTGTTAACAAAAAAAAAAAAAATCCATCAAAGATGCATTCTCTTTTCTCGTACGTACCCCCCCCTACACCGCACCACTGCAAAAAAGAAAAAAAAAAAAAAAAAACAAGAAGTCCTTTTTTAACCCTATTCGAAGTGCCATGAGCACCCCCTAAAATTGTGCTTAACAAAACGGGGAAAATAAAATGAGATTTCTCTCCACTTGTACACCCTCACGTGTTTACACATTTGGAAAGAAACTCCCGCGTACATCCCCCTTTGCGTTTTTCTTTTATTTTTTTGTTTTTTCTGTTTGCGGCTTACCCCCGTTTTATCATGAACCGCCGCCGAGGATCTACACCCGCGAAAAGTGCGGACAAGCCAAGGCACTGGCATTTAGCTGCAACCCTCCTCTGCTGCCTCCTCGTGAGAGTCACCACCTTCTATGTCATAAACATTCTGCAAGGAAGTGAATACAAATACATTGACCAGTTAATCACTCTTGAGAAGGAAGGAAGCCCCCATGGAGGTCTCCACAAAACAGGACGTCTTTCCCACTCAGGGGAAGAAGAGGGGACACATCATTTCCACTCCGAACAAATGAACCATACAGAACATCTGCAGGGATATTTCCAAAGCAACAAACGCAATGGAAGACTAAAACAGTTTTTAGGAAAAAATGATTCCATGCATTACTCGTTCAATTCCGATTTGTACAATTTAAAGTACCTCTACGAAAGTGACGTCTTGGGACGGCTGTCTGCGGATGTTTACTCGTCCCTGACGGTGCGCGTCAACCCCCTCCTGCTTAAGGCGCTGCAGTTTGTCCTCTTACGGGGGATTCCTCTGAGAGGGGGGAGCGATGATCGCGGCGGAAGTGCTGAACGGCGTGGAAGTCCTTCCCGCGGGGCTGCTCCCCACCCGCTGCACAGACCTGAACTGCGTTTCTTCCTCCTCATCTGCGCAGTGGACCTTCTCCTGGGCGTCCTCTTATTCCTGATAGCGCAACGCCTGGCGAGGTGGGAAGCCTACTTCCGCTATGTTGATGAAGACGCCATGGACAGGGGGGAAACGCTGCACAAGGCGGAAACTCTGGACATGATGCGTACGCGGAACGCGCAGGGCACTCACTGCCACCTGATCGACCCCATTTTTCTGACCAACTTGTACCTGAACAATCCCCTCACCATTCTGGCCAATAGTTTCCTCTCCTTTGATAATTTTAAGCTCCTCCTAATAACCACGTCGTTCTATTTGTCCCTTAGAAGGATCAGAAGAGAAGCATCGCCCCCCCAACGGTCTACACCCAACCTTATTGCAACCCTCTTCGTAAATGCCATCCTCCTTTACGTCACATCATTTCACTTCATCCTTGTTCTCATCGGAGTAAATAACCTCGTGGTGTACTTCCACCAGGGTATAATGTACAAGCACAAACTTAAGGTGCCACTTAATTGTCTGGAAATGTTTCTGATCATTTTGCAAAATGTGGCATTGCTCATCGCGACACTGGCTATGTATGCCCTCCTCATGCTGGCCTCTGTCTACGTCAACTCGGGGTCTTGGGTAAGCCGCCAAGAAGCGCCACGCATGGAGGTGCAGCGGTGACCGTGCATGATGCTGCACACCACTGCTAACCACCGCTGCACGCCACTCCCCCTCCTGCAGTCCTTCCTAAACAACACACTCATTAACGAATACAAGATCCTCTTCCTGCTGCCCAACTTGGGGAATTACTGGTACCTCTTCTCCACGGTAATGCTCTTCGCGCGTTTGGCGGTACTTTAGCGGCAGTTTAACGGAAGTCCGTTTGGCCGCCAATGTCGTACGCGGCAAAGCCTGCCAACCGGAAAGTAACCCTTCCCTCCCTCCTCTTTCCCCTCCTCAGATGTTCCGGGACTATTACCACTCCTTCTTGTTCCTCTTCCATGTAAACGACAACATGGGTTTCGGGCACAGCGTGCATGGTGTTGCTATCGCCTGACGTACGTCCAGCACTGTTTTGGCAGCACCCCTTTTCACTCATGTTGCCAATCTTATCCTTGCTTTTCTCGCCCTGATGCAGTTCCACGTGTTCCTTTACCCCCTCCCTCTCCTCTTCCGCCTGGTGAAGACGCCAGTGATTTATTTAAAAATCATGATTTCGGTGAGCACCCCGTGCTTTTCTTTCTTTTTTACACCCCCATTTGTACGTCTGCGCAACGCGCTTTATTCCCGCCACACGCACATAGGCTACCCCATAACTTCACCCCTGCAGATTGCTCTAGTTTTTCATCCCAACATAACGGTGAACGACATTGTGTTTTCTTTGGTATGCTTTGGTGACATGCCCGCTTAGGAGTTCTGTCCCGATTGTCCATCCCCCGCTACAGACACTTTTGCATGGCTTAATTTGGCGGTGATGCACTTATGCGTTTAATCCCCCCCAACCATTGGACACCCCTTCTAAATAATCCATTTTTATCTGCATGTATCACTACATTTTCCTCCCTCGCTTCAGCTCCTCCTCGTAATTGACTACAAAAGGACAGTTTCTGCTATCCCCTTCGCCAAATTGGTAAGATTCGTTCTTACAAAATTCCCCCATCAGCTTCTGTGTGTGAAGATATACTCACATGGGGGAGATTTCCCCTTTTCCGCCTCTCCATCCTTCACCGAGTGAGACTGTTTAACGAAGCCGTGTATCATGTTTGGCATTCCTTTATAAATATCACCTGCATTCCTTCCCCTTTTTTTTTTTTTTTTTTTTTCTTTTTTCTTTTCTCTTTTTTCTTTCCATTTCAAGATAATCATACTGCTGGCAAACTTGGGGCTCTTCTTCGTCACAACAAATCTGTGGTTGCGCAAAAACACGGGCAATGCCAACTACGCCTTTTTTAACCAATTGATCGTTTTCAACATAACGAGTAAGTCCTACAATGCAACGCCATGTTTGCAGCGTTTGTGTCCATTTGGTAAAGGGTATCTCCCCGATACACACACAGAGACAGAGACAGAGACATGTAGGTAAAATCACCTTGCTTGGTCATATTTTTTTTTCCCTTTTGAGCAGCTTTTATCATAACAAGTAGCATAAAATTTTACATTCGCGTCCAAACACCGGAGAGACAGCTGCAGGAGGGGAAATGTATCGTCGTTTCGACTGAGAAAAACAAGTTTAACCTTTTTCAAACTTTGAAGGAGACCTTCGTGTAGTTTTCCCAAGGGGGGGTTTGGTGCCCACGCAGAGGGGCAGTTACGGCAACATGACCCAGGTTCAGTGGCTACATTGGTTGACACCCACATTCTGCACTGCCCCCTTTTTGCTCCACCCAAGTATGCCGTTTCATTAGCCTTAAATTTGTTTCTGCGCGTTGCCTGCGCGTGTGAAGAAATGGGATAGCTGTTGTAAGCTCCTCGCGGGGGTAGATTTATGCGCCGCGGCATCTTTTTTACTTGTGCGCCATTGTTTTCGATGTAGTTATTCTCCGAGAGGTTATTTTCCACCGATTTGCTCCCCCACATGCATATAGAAGCAGAACACACAACAGCCATAGTGAT